ATCGTGTTGTAATAATTTTCGTAAAGGTGCAGTCATGCTCGATAGATTTGGGAGTAATCTTGCGTAATAAGTTATCATGCCGAGAAATCGCCGGACATCTGCAACATTTTTCGGATTAGGCATGTTCAATATGGCTTTTACCTTATCGGGTGACTTTGCAATGGTGTTTTTTCTTATGATGTATCCTAGATACTCGATTTCGTTCTGAAAAAAACTGCACTTTGCCTCGTTCAGGTGAAGATCGTTTTCTTGCAATTTGGTTAAGCATTTAATTAAATTGCTGTAGCATTCTTTGTAAGAGTTACCATGCACAATTATGTCGTCAAAATATGAGGTTGTTTTTGGACAGTCCCGTAGAATCTGATCAATGACTCGGTTAAACTCAGCTGGAGCCGTTTTAATTCCGAAACTCAAACGATTTACATGGTATGTCCCCTGGTGGGTAGACATAGTTTGTATTACACTGCTGTCTTTGTCTACACGTAAATGTAAATATGCCTTATAAAGGTCGAGTCTACAGAAGTAAGACGAATCCCGCAAACTGTTAAGGACTTCGTCTACGCGCTTAATGGGGTAGTTCACGTTCACTAAACTGTCATTTACGGCAACTTTATAATCGACACAAAGCCGCACTCCTCCTTGTGGTTTTTGTACCACCACAAGTGGTGAACCCCAGTCACTTACATCACATTTACTTATAATTCCGGCAGATTCTAACATTTCTAATTCGTGACTAACTTTATCGCGTAACGCATATGCAACACTCCGTTCTCGTGTGTACACAGGTTTGACATTATCGCGAAGCGCTAACTTAATCACTACATTCGGAACGCATCCCACTTTTTGTTCGAAGATATTGGGAAATTGTTCACGCACCGACTCAATTGAATTTATGTAATCACTATGGATTTGTGTTAATTTTTTACTGGTCTGTTTATCGATTTCCTGTAATTGAATGTTTAGATGGCGAATCCATTCGCGACCTACTAATGGATCATACCCCTCAGGCACTACGTATAGATCCTCTAATGTGGGATTTTGATTATTGTGGTATTGAACCATTACTTGTACTTTCCCATGTGGTTGAAAGGTTTGACGTGTGTAAGTACGAAATGTTAGGTTAGACGGTTTCAGTTTTTGTTTGCAGTTAAGTTTATCGAAAAGGTCTTTTGGAAGTAACGTGAATCCCGCTCCGGAGTCAAATTGAATTGCTTGTCCTTCGACATTGATGAATGTGTAGTATTTACGGGTATCGTCTCCTTCGGATGAATATACATCTTCAATACGATTCACACTGAAATTATCAATGTTGTAGGTAGTATTATGTGCACTACTATCACGTTTTGATTTGATTAACGTTGAAATGCAAACATTCGCAACATGTCCTTGTTTGCCACAACCGGTACACTTTAAGTTTGTTTGTTGTACACGACAGTCTTTTGACGTATGGTTGTCACGACCACAGAATAAGCACATATTGTCAATTCCTAACTCACGGTAGTTTACCCGGCCTTGTGAAGAATTACGATTTTGGTGTGACTGTTGTCGATAGTTGCGTGATGATGACCTATGACGATTATGATCCGGCTTTCGATTGTGCTGAGAATTTTGGCTCTGACGTCTCGTAAATTGTCCTTCTCTGCTCGGAATCACACTATTTATTGATGTATTTGTTGATGGAGTTGAAGTTTTCGCTAAATTTTGACTATCAGTTCGAGCTGCTTCTAAAGCTATTGCCTTTTTCACGATTTCGTTAAATTCTGTGAGGTTTGACTGGAGTAACTGCTCGGTGATCCAGGTATCTTTCAACCCTCGAATAAACTGCGCTCTTAAAAATTGTTCCGCTGTTGAAACCTCTTGAGTACATTGACACTTTGCCAGGAAGTTGCATGCCCCTAAATTTTTCTTCAGTTCAGTAACGTATTCACTGATGCTCTGTTTTCCAGACTGGTAAGTTGATAAAAAATAGTGTTGGGCCACGAGCATGTTCCGCTCAGGTGACAAATGTTTCTCTAAATGGGTAATCAGCTCATCGTATGATAGTTCGGATGGCTTTTGTGGCGCTACTAAGGCATTTATTGTCTGGTAGTGTGTCGCTCCAATAGACCCTAGAAGTAGGCAAGCGGACTTGGTCTTGTTATCAAACACTTCCTTCATGCGCAAGTAATTTTCGAATCGTTCCCTGTATAACTTGAAGTCTTCCTTCTTGGCGTCATACTGCTCGAATGGGGGGATGTTTGGATTTACTGACGGTGTTGTTAACGGCGTAGCTCTAGTCTGGTCAATTTGTAGAAATGCAGCAGCAACGGCGGCAGTAATTTGCGCTAGTTGTTCTGGTGAAATTGCGGCCATTTTGTTATAATTCTAACGGCAATGTGGACCTATTCAATTCGTCTGCTCTTTTTTTACTTCTCTCGTCGCCAATTTCACTGTGGTGACCAATGCTCATGACGAAAGTGGGGTGGATAGAAAATTAACCCGCGGTACAACACAGCAAAGTTATATATTTTTATTCACATTAAAAATCTAACATGTCACTGAACGTACAAAAAAAACTAACTGGAAGCGTCAGTTGGTACGCTTGTTTTTTTCTCCAGTGGAGACCTCTTAATATTCACTACACATGCGTAAAGCTTTTTCGTCAATTTTATTAATTTCATGATATGAATGGTCAAAAAGCGAAATAAGGGATTCAACCGGTTCACCATTGTCAAGAAGTTCATCCAACTCTTTTTCGAATTTTACCTGTTTTTGTTTTGCAGTCTCAGATATAAGATCACTTGCATTTAATAATGAGTTCAACATTTCGCCGCCTGTTATATAACTACCTCTTGGTGGCTTAATAAGAGATGCAACAGATAGAAGGCGATATACCTGAATGAATTGAAGTGGGTCTGGATGAGTATTACATCCACACGCTTGGCGGACTTCTCCAAAGAAATGCGGCGTCGGCAGAATTTGGAAACGCTGATTCATTCCATTTTATAACATTGGTTTTGCAAACTAATGTAAAACCTAATTTGCAAATTTTTTTTAAATCAACGAATTTTATGTTAGAACTAAATAAGTTAAAAGAAAACTTGCAAGCTCTTAGTTAGCATTAAATTATGGAAATGCCTCTTCGTCTGGAACCGCAAGACTTTGGTCTACTGTGAAACAGCTCATAACCAAATATTCTTTTATTTAATATTAGAATAATTGCCATAAGAATAGAAGATATACCGCAGATTATGTCACGGTAATGTCTTTATGACGTTGAGCGAGAATTAGTACCTAACTCAAAGCCACGGTGAATAAAGACTCAAAGCTTATGATTATACGATTGCTGGGTTTCTCCAACAAAACTTAAGTAAGTCTTAAGTTATAGCGCCGTGTTATTTGGTCGTGCTTGGTCGAAATGAATCAATTGCTTAGTAACGTTGAACTTAAGTCGAAGTGAAGTAAGAAATAATGTTGGAGAAACCGCCCATAAAAACTTGAAATAATGTGTACGCTGAGTTGCCTTTAATCAGGCGGAAAAATTTAAGGTACTGATTCTGTTGTTCATAATACAAACGTAGTCCTTTCGTATATTCAAATGACAATAGATAAGTATAACAACACGCTATATTGATTTCAACTTCAAAAGTATCGAAATAATGATAATATTGGCAAAAAACGCCTAATCTCCCATATAACTCCATAGTAAAACCAGCCTACGACTGAAAGGTAGGCAATAAGCATACGCGGTCAGATTTGGACAGCGCTGTAGGCCGGAGTGCCGCCACCGTTATGAATCCACCTTGCTACGTGGTTTCCACATTGAATGACAAACCATAGGCCAATACGCTTGGTGATGTGTACCACAAATAACATTTCAGTTTTCCTTCCAAATAATATCCCAAACCAAAGAGTAACTTTGCCCAAACGCTTCAGCTTTTCGCTTCTAGTGGGCAAGCATAAACGTTAATCGAGATGGAAGAACGCCATGATGCCAGCTATTGGATTACGAGTTGTGAATAATTGCCAATGGTAGACCTTACTTAGACCATGAGGATTTATAGGGTACCTTCTAATCCACTACCGGTAGTCGTATTCAATTTTTCATCGGACTTATCTTCAGCCGAGCGTTTACTACCAAATCACAGGCTGTTTCTGATACGGGTTTTTTAGTTCGATAATGTTACAAGATGAATCCATGTTGTCCCACACAAAAACCATTACAACTGAACATTTCACAAGTGTGTAGCTGTAAAATACACTCGCAAATAAATGTGAAGCTGGTTTTAGGGACACCAGACGATAATCATACAAAGTTAGGACTACTATTTTACTCTTGTTTTAATTCTTGATTATCAGATGTCCTGGTTCTAACACTGTTTTGGGGTGCGCCGTCTTTTATGTGTGCCTTCATCTTGTCCATCGTAGAGGGCGATAGATCTAACGATGCTTCGCTATTTCACACCGAGCCTTTTGTTTCGCCCCGTGAACGTTGACGTCATTGTGTGGTGAAGAAGGTTCACTGTTCACAGCGGATGAGCACCACAGATATGTTACTCATCGCGCTTCCCTTACAATCAATTTTATCTTGTTCGGATACCATTTGTGGTTGGTTTCCCATAATGACGATTTATTTATAACACGGTACTGTGGAAATATAAAAGATTCTTTGCAAATGGTAATGAAAACCATTCGCCATTCGCACCCACCAACGGTTCTATTTGAACCTTAAATTCCGACATTTCCATTATTGCTTTTGTAAACTACTTATACCAACTGTAACATGCGTGAAACAAAAAATCACGACAAGAAAACCACACTACTCTAGACCGAAAAACATCGTTGCACACAAATTAACATCCTGGTCCCATAAACCCGCAGGTGTGCATCAAAGTAAAAATTAAAAGTATCATGAAACTGACTTGTTTATATGAATTTGTTAATCTTGCCTTGGTGAAACAGGCGATTTGGTTTCTTCAATAAGGTTGTTCCAAGGAAATATGTCAAAAAAGTTACTCTCGTTTCGATTTTTCATTTTTCTATAATTATAAAAAGCACTACAAATGTATTTAATGATTGACACATCTTTCTAAAATTAGAAAGAATCTATGAAATAAATAACAACACAATCAAATGAGAAAATGGTACACAAGTAACATTTTTTCACGTTTGTAGAATTACGCTATGACTTAGAGTTGAGAGGAATTTCTTCTTTGGGGCGTTTTTCCTCCTTCTTATTTCTCATTTTAAAACACATTATGTAAATAATCATACCTATGATACATAAAATACCTACAACTATTATCACCAAACTAATGATTTCTAATATTTTCGGTAACTGAAATAGTAACTTTAAATTTGCAACTAGTTCGTCCGCAACAGTCACTTGTTGCTCGAACCACAGAACGGGAAAGATCAGGTGAGGCAAATTCGCAAAATTGCTGAAAGAAAACAGTTAACTTTGTTAAAAAAAAACGCACAAGATTTACCCAAATCCGTCCAATGGATGCAATTGCACGTTAATTTGCATTCGGGCGGCGAGATCCAGGATTAAACCAGTATTCTACAAAATCAAAGCTCATTAGATTTCAATACATAGTGATACTTACAGGTTCTAAAATCATGTAAAGTTCGTGTTTGTCCTTTTCCGGGTGCAATCCTTCCACGGCATCAACATAAAATGGATCGGCATAGTAGAAATGTGGCAAAGACAGAAATACAGGCGAATGGTCTTTACATGAAGAAACATTCAAAATTCCCGACGGTAACGAGTTATCATAACAAACATTTTCCTTTAACTTCGTACCTATAAACGCAAAAATCAATAATTGTTAAAAAGCTGCCCAAACTTACCATTATCGAAAACCTCATCCCCCACTGTAAATTTATACCCAGGTATTCCCTTAACCGCGGTTTTTTTAGCGAAATTAAATCGTCCAGTACGACACATTTCCGCCGAAAACACGTCGATGTGCGTCGGTTTTAGGTTTCTTGGAAACATTTCGCCGCCGGAACCGTAAATTTTTCCACAGCGACCTTCAAAGAACGAAGTGTGGTTTGCATAATTCCAATTCTTGAGCGTTGCGAACTCGTCGCCTGCCGTTGTTCGCATGTTATAGACGCCATCCGTACCCACCGATCCATTCCTCTGAAACACCGGCGATAAGGAAATGCGGAAAATTTGGTGTAAATCACTTACCCCGATGAACCAACCGAATTTTGTCGCTTCTGTATCAGAGACAAATGGAACTGCGTTTAGTACCGAGAGAACTGGATCCTCGTATCCATCGAAGAGGATCTCTTTTACGGTTTTTTGTACGAACACAGGGCTTCTTTTAACCGGTGTTGAAACGAATAGTTGAACTGCCAAGTGCCAATCGTCGGTGATGTGGGCAGTTGTCTAAAATTGCACCGATAAATTTCGTAGCCGCAAAGCGTACAACCTACCAAAGGAACCATATTTATTGTCGTGATGACATCGGAAACATGACGGGGAGAATTTTCCTCGTCAAAATAAAAATATTTAAGGTACTTGTAGGTGATGGTTTCATTATCAGTATTCCACACTATGTCGGTTTTCTCCTTGAAATGTATGTATCGGTACGGCCCCACCTCCTCAAATTTTGGTTTGATGTTTGGATCTCCAATTTCGTGGGGATTTGTCCAATTAAAAAGGTATATGTCAAACCGAATCGCACCGTCAGGCTTTTGCCAACCTTTGTATAGGGTGGAGTTTGGTTCAAGTTTGAGAGTGCTGCTTATAATGAAATCGTAAATTGCCGAAGTGCAACTTAAGAATGCTACCCCAAGTATTGTAAGTACTGCCCCTGCACAAATAAAACAAATATTCCATCTAGTTATTGGTATCTGCATTTTCCTAAAAAGAGTAGGTACTGGTAAGTATGACAAACATTTGCGAGAAAAATTCTTACTGCCTAGGCATAGAGGAGTGAGTCAAGTACTTATTCGTGCTAGTCCATCATGAATGCATACCTGAAAATAGAAATTACCAAAAATTAGTTCTGAATGTAGGTAATTATGCAGAGTAGATAGAATGCTTAATCGCACAGGTTTCCTAATTTACAAGATACAAAATATTAATTGGGAAAAATACAAGAAACGATTAGCAGTTTTATGAAGTACAAGGAAGATTGTTAGATTACAATTTTTTATCTACGGAACGAGAAAAAAATTATTGAAAAAGTTAGAAATTGGATTTTTTTAATGCGAGGTCAGATGTTTTCTCACAATATAATTAGTAAAGCACGCTGGGAGACATAGGATAATTTTTCGTCCCAACATTGACCAAGACAAGTTTGGCGATTTTCAATAGACTTTGCTGTGTTTTGTTTTGACTATTTTTAAAGATCGTTTTTCGAAAGACCCCTTATGTGGTGGTTTTGTCCGTCTGTCCCTCTATTCCTCGCCTCGAGAACTAAAATAGACAGCGCTGTCAAACCTTCGTCAATCGATTTCTGAATATGAGCCGGATTAAAAGTAAAAAAATGCCCCTACCGAAATCGTATGCGATTCTTCGTTTCTTGCTGTTCTGGCAACTCAGCCACCTTGCACACACGTTTATGTAGACTACGCAGCTTTCCTAATGCCGCACATTATTATTATTCATTTCGGCTTTCATTCACCGATACGAGAGAATTACAAGAGACGAAAAAGTTTCTAAACAAATCATCATGCTTAGGAACACCCTGTGTATTGAGACTAATGTCAATATACGAAACTTTTTGAAAATATTTCTACAGGTTTTAATTATTCTGATAATTCGTTTTTGTGCTATAAAAACTGATTTGACCTGAGTAGAATTGCCCTACAGACATATACCGTTGAGTGAAGGATTAAATACTCAATGCATATACCATAAATCGATTATCAATTGGCGCCTGATAAATAGAGATCAGTTCCATTTTATCCAAACCGTTTTGAAGATGCCTAAAAGCGTACGACAGAGTACTTAATTTAGAGGCCAACTTATCACAACGCACATAAGAGCGCTATCATTCTATGATATTTTTGTTTTTTTCCTCATTTGCCGAAAATTTTAAAGAGTGAGAGCAATGGAGTGGATCCTAAAAGCGTTCGTTAATACCCAAAAAAAAAAAATGTAAGTACCCCAGCGTCCAGATTTCAATAAAACATGTTTCGGAAATAGATAATCCAGTTACCAGTTTCCATCTTCCAATTTCAAGTTTTTCAACCTTTTCTCTAGGCGATTTTAAGATACTGGTTCTAGATTCCAGCTTCCATTGTATTCCTTTAAGCTTGACTACATTGTTTAATTAGATCAATATAAATACATTAATTTGAGTTTCTCATGTTCTCATAAAACCAATAACCGTATAATACACATTAAAACATTAGTGAATTTTGTAAAAGTAAACAAACATGACAGTTTAAAACGTTCTCTAACTAATATCATCAGGTTGTTGTGTTTACCTTACTAGCATAATCTGGAACTTACGTCGAGATATAAATAGTGTCGTGAACTGCAGCAGCACTACACTAAAAGAAATATTTCAGTCACTATTTTAGCAATAACTTTCTGCTTCTGTCCAACAACTAATGTGCAATAATTGAAAAGTGCGGTTGCTATCGTGTAAAGGCAATTAAAAAAATAAACAATTTATGTAAAGGATGGTCTTATCGGCTCAAATATGAAGACGAATGTAAATAAAGAAATCATCCGATATCAGGTGACTTAAAAGGTGGTATTTAAGCAATGTTGCGATATGGTATGATAAAAGGGAATAAAAAATCAACAATTAGTTATGCTAGATACCTATACATATATTAAATCAGTTACTTCATTTTATCTTTACCGTTTAATGAACCATAACAATATTACAAAATACCTATACTGATACGTTACATTATGACTAGTAAATTTACTCAATTATGCAATATTTACTGTTTTGAATTTTGAATTTTTTTAATTGCAAAATTATAGATATATCAATGGACTATCGGCTACTGTTTACATCCTCGCGATTAAAACATCCACTTTAGTCCATTGGTATATCATGATATATATTATATACCTACTATTAATTCTGCGTTGATACCAAATAATTTTAGCATCGTTTATCTATTTAACCTACCCAGACTTGTTTAAATATTAGCTCAATATGATTATATTGATAAAAGAGGTTGACCACCATAGAGAATTTCTATACCTACTCCACCCCTAGGGCTGATGTTTTAATTTCCACAAAAACTATAGCATTTGCAATACGTAACAATTTAATAATAAATGTTGTAAAGGCCTGTTTCCTGTATATGTCATGTTTGATTCATTATGATTATGCGGTCCTATTTTGGTACATTTCAAATCAATAACTTTAATCTTTTCGTTAAAATTGGCAAAAATTATGCTCCACACGTGGAAACCAGTTACCAAGTATAGAAAATGACGTCTCGAAAAATTGTTACAGAGATAATATTTTTCACTCGTGACAGTAGCAACGGATTTATTAAATTAGATCCCATATTAATCTATACCTATAAGAATAACATATTGTACTACCACAACAAAACAGATGTGTGTATCAAATATTCACGAGAGGGTGGCGATACGATTCCAGTCATTTTTTGCCAACTTCCACTTCATTTGAATAAATGTTATGTGTAAATAAAATTGGATTGTAGGTATTTTTGTAGATGCTTAACAATTCCGTCTTTCGAGATGCTCCCCGGTACATATCCTCGCCAATTGAGGTCATTAAATTCCAAAAAAATACGTACTATAAAAGGTACTTACTTATTTACAGTGCTTACAATTAGGATAAATCCTCCTCTACTCGGTTTAGTTTACATAATTACAAATGAGTGGATCGGCATGCTGGAAGTGACGTCTAAGAAGTTAACGAAAATAATTAAACATCAATCAAGTGTTTGCACGTAAATACAGGGACCTTCTAACTGTGTCAAATGTATATCCCTAAAGAGTGAGCGTATAATTTTTAAGGAACAAGTCCTCACGATATTTGTACAGACGTATCTTATCTTATATTTGACTGAATTAACCGAATTTTATACAAACATTTTTACTCCATTTTCATCGATGCGAAAGACAACTGTAATATAATCTATACCTAGATCCTCCTAAATAAACGGCGTGCCTTTTGGCGTTACTGACAACTTGGGAGTTGATTTGAGAACCCCTTGTACGGGTCGGTCCACGATTGCGTTGAGTGTTATTATTTTGTAGAGCAATCCAAGCAGTGGCGGAGTAGCTGCTGCTGGTGCCCAAGCCGGCCGATCAAAATTGTGCATCCACGTCGCCCCTCTTCTCGTCGGATGTGGGTTTCTTGTCCTGTATCAAATTCTTCCATTCTTTCCTGTCTCTTGCTAGGATTTTCATTTCCTCTACCGTCTTGACTCTTTCCATCCCTATTTCTCGGATTTGGTCCATCCATTTTCTTCTTGGTCTTCCCCTTTGCTTCTTCTTTGGTTTTCCCATCTCCATTATTCTTCTTGAAAGTCTGTCTGGTTCCATCCTTACTTTTACGCTTTTCAAGTGAGCAACGAGTGTTAATTGTGAACACGTTTTTTCAAAACGAAGAACGCTATGCAGCAACTGTCTGACGACTTCGTGCAATTGTTGGGTATAATGAAACACCGAATGAATCCAACAGTGCGCAGACTTATAAAGAAGTTCTGAGATACAGCATTAATAGCCAATATTAAAAATCCTGGACCCTGGACGTCCTCGTTTGGGTCGATCTGATGAAAACATTGCGTCGGTTGTATACAGTGTCAAAGTTGGCTGACATCCATTCGACGTAGTTGCACACGGTATTCTTCATTGCAGCGAATTATTGTGAACGATCTTCATTACCAGTCATCAAAAGAGATGTGATTTTATTGACTGGGGTTCTGACAAGACAGCAGGAAGATGACACCTTTCCGAGCAAAATTATTTTCAGTGACGAGGCACATTTTCAAGCCATTGAGGCTTTGTCAATAAGCAAAATTACCGTATTTGGGGATTAAAAAAATCCCCATTTGATTTGTGAAAGGAAAATGCATCCGCAGTCGGCAGTAAGTAACGGATATTTTTTTGAAAATGAGACAGCAAAATCTGGTACCGTACCATGATAAAGAGATTTTTTGTCGCCTAATTCCGACGCAATAGACATTCAGTAGCTATGGTTTCAACAAGATGGCGCGACGTGTCATAAATCCGCTAAAACAATTGCGTTGCTCCGTGAAAAATTCCCGGATCCGCCTCATCTCCCCATTCCTGATGACCAGCAATGGCCAAGAAGGTCGTGCGATTTAATCCCATGCGATTTCGTTGTTTGGGGTTATCTCAAATCATTAGTTTATGTCAATACATCCCGAAACATCCACGAATTAAAAAAAGAAATTCAACGAGTTATCGGCGAAATCGAAATGCTTAGTTTGTGAATGAACCATTTTACGAAGAGAGTTTTGGAATGGCAGCAAAGTCAAGGCCCGATTATTTTCCATGCCTAAACTGGGAAAGTTTGTTCAAATTTATGTTCTCGTTATATGTCTTATTTAAGAATAGGTAACGGTCATTTTTTTAGATTAGATTGATTTAAAGCAATTTTTCCCAGATCAAATGATTCAATTTCCACCAACCAATGATCCATCATACCACGTCATTAACAAAATAATGTACAACACCGCTCATTTTTTTAAAATTACTTTTTCACAAGTTTGCACGTACGCACTCTTCTACGCACTTTAGGCAAAGTAGCAATATTTGGATGCGCAAAACTTCCATTTCAATTGTACTAAAAACTGTTTGATAATTTTATTTTTACCCTCGTTCTTACCTAAAAACAGGCATAGAAAATTTCGTGAAATCCTGAGCAACTTTCATTGTCTGGCCCAAAATTGCAATCGAATTTTTTTTTCGAATTTTCAAAAACTAATTTCTATGTTAAAAGACCTTTAAAGATCAAATTTCGTCGAAATCAATGTTGTATTCCCCTCACTCCCCGTCGTTT